CTAACTGTGATTCCTGCGGCTGTCACTGAAGCCTGTCCCTGCCCTCATACCCTGCAGAGTCAGCTGGAAGCACCTCAGAGTGGAGTAGGCAGTTGGAGCAGAAATGATTGTATTTGGCTGCTATTCACCACCCACGGCCCCTAGGAGATGCAGATCCGGAGCCAGCCAAGCTTCTGGACTAGTTTCTGAGCATTTCTAGAGGATCAGAGAGCTGCCAGCTTGACAGAGGCGTCTGAGAACTGAGGAGAGGAAGGAGAGTGTGAGGAAAGCAGCACTGCTGGGAGCTCCACTGCTCTTAGATTCACCCACTTCCCCAAGCCCTCTACTTCCAGACAGTACATCCTCCTTTAAGGATCTCAGCCTTTAGGATGGCTACCATTAAGATCCCTCCATACCTTTGGGGTGGTATTTCACAGAGCATATGTGTCTAAAGTGCTTATGCAGGGCTAAGTTGGGAAAAACTTCAGTGGCCCCGTTTCTCCAACCCCAAGTCTTGGCTCAGGGCCCTTGGCTAACCTTACAGTGGAAGGATCCACACAACGATGGTGACAGTGTGACTGCTGTTGCTATCCCTGGCCATGGTGGCTGCAGTGGTGGCTGCAGTGGTGGCTGTAGTGGGGGCAGCTGGGCCTCGGATTTTCTGCCGGTACCTTCTGCGGCTACACTTGAACATCCTGGGAAACCGGGGCCGAGGCCAGCCCACACCTGGCCTGTGGTAGGGGGAACTTAAGCCCCGGGGCCGAGGAGCACGGACAAGCTGAGAAGGCCCCATGGGCACAGATTGCTTCTGCAGTGTGCCTGAGGGTGCTGCTGGCCAGGGCCGCTGAGGCCTTTATGACATACAGAGTCCGTATATGGGTGGAGCTCTTTATTACAGGTCCTGGTCCCTAGCTCCTCCCCAGAGGTCAGGCTCGCTCACAGTTCTCTCCATGGGTCAGTCCAGCCCAAGAGCCAGAAAACCTCAGTTCGGCTCCTTGGGAAAAAGAACCATGAGTAGGAGAAAAATCACTCCTTCACTTTCTCGTTCATCCACATTAACAATAGTAACAATTTTTATTGAGCACTTACTATGTGCCAAACACAGTACCTTACAAACATCTTCTCATTTAATCTGACAACAACCCTACAAAATTTTATCATTAGTCCTAATCTATATAGAGTCGATTCTTGTTATTGATGGTGGTAGATTCCCACCAGCCTCCAGTCATAACCTTCTCCTCAAGTGACCAATCAGTACATCACCTAGTTTCGTGTGTTTTTAATTTAAAATATGTTATCAAATCATTAACATTGAACTCGAAACCAATAGCGCTATAACTTGTACCTGAATGAAGTTTATGTAACACACGTTATTTCCTCCATAAGGCAAATCCTGGCACTTCAGAATTATGTTGGAGGCCATTTTAAACAACAAGATCACCAACAAAAAGCTCCCAAATGCAAAAAATGTGATACTAAATAGACCACAAAAAGAACACTTGTTTACATTATAAGAGCTGAAATGAGAAATGTTCACCCTTAGCTGAGAACATGCAAGTTGGGTGACTCAAATTTTTTGCAGCTCTGCCTATGGCCATGAATAACCGCAGATGTTCCATGAATATTGGTTTGGGGTTACAAATAAATTTTAGTGAGTAGGAAAATTCACAAATATGTATTCTGTGAAAAATGAGGATTGACCATATAAGGAAATTGAGGCTCAGGTGAAATCACACAATTAGAGGCAGGCAGGGGTTCAAATCCATGACGGCCAAGATCCAAAGCTCAGACATTCATCTCTTGCTATTCTGCATTCATTCATTCAATCATTCAGGAAATGTTCACTTACAACATCATATATTCTGGATGCTGGGGACATAGATGAATGTGACCTGGTTCCAATTCTTCTTGAGATGAAAGAAAAAGCCATGTGGACAATCAGTGCAGGTAGAGAAACAGCTAGGTTCCCAGGGGTTGTAAAACATTCCAATCCTAGTTTTATCTCTTTTCTTGTAGGAGACAAGAACATCAATGGCTCAGCCAGGCCTTCCAATGAGTTCTTGTGGAACTTTGGACTTGCCCCTACCCCCTCTACACTTCAGCGCCCTCTTCCTCTAACTCTTATTTCACCTGTAACCCCCCTTCCCAGTCTCTATCTTTTCTCTGTTCCCACAGGAGTCAGATAGGAGACTAGGGCCCTCAGCACCATGCTTAATGGCCCCACACCTCTCGCCCATCCAGCTTCTACTCTTGCCATCCTCAGTCTTAGAAAATGACCTTGCCCCCATCAACTCCTAGCCACTATACCTATAAACTCACCTGCTCTTGGCCATCTTTTTATTCAAGTCCCAG